GAGAGAGAGACACGCTTGCAGGCTTGAGGAGCGCCCGCGCTGCTCGGGGTAGGCCGCCCGGTGCGCAGCCTTGTCGGGACGGCGCCTACGCGCCGGGCGGCAACAGGGGTTGTGAAGCAGCGGCGCAGACTGACACGGCCGGCAGCCCCCGGAGGAGGGCGCCTGTCCAACGAGCGATGATCCGGGCCCGACGGAACCCCGAACGACCTTCCTTCCTCCATAGACCCACACGTGTCCTCGTCCACGTGCCGGCAGCAGCAAGCCAGTCTCCACGTGGCCTCCGCGGGGGGCCTCCACATATACGCACCAGCCGATCGCAGAATAACACGTTTGACAGACACGCGTGCTGTCCCTGCGCAAGCCTCGTAATCCGCTGGTCGGCAGGACGGTTCACCGCGGCATAGAGCCGCGTACAACAACAACAACAACAACAACAACAACAACAACAACGTTACACGGCGATCAGAGTAGTAATCTCACCCAAAAATCTAACACGGCTCCATCCCGACACGGCCGTGGGGTTAGCGACGCGCCATGTTCCCCGTCCGTCCGACCACGGCTTTGTTTTTGTCCCCCCCCCCCCCCCCTCCCCCGTCACTTGTCCCCAAATTTCCCCTCGCCCCATACCGCACGCTAGTATGAAAAATTGTCCAACTCGCTGTGCTGGCTCGCGCTGGCCGCTCTGGTCGCAGCCGGCCGCCGCTGGTCCAGCAGCGCCACGCCGCGCCCCGCGCAGCAGCACCAGCAAGATGAAAAACTGTTTTGCCGCCTGCATGCATACAGTCTTTATGACGCCCCGTACTTTACTTTTTATCGTCGCTGGCCTCGTTCTCATTTGTTCATTTGTTTTCCCCCGGCGGGCCCGGCCAGTTGTCTCGAGTACTTGTTGGCAATTAATAATCGTTTGTCCGCCCGCTCGCAGCCAGCAGGCGCGGCCAGGAGCTGGTGTTGCGTAGCGCAAGGCGGGCCAACTCGTGTATTCCGGTGTATACGTGGCGTGTTTTTCTTGAATTTCCACTTTTTTTTGGCGCGTATTTTTCTGAATTTGTCTATGTATCTTAATGTATGTTTTTGTGTATTTTTCACCTTTCTTGCCACAGGAAAACATAAAGAGTTCATAATAACAACACGCAAAAAAAACTAATTAGTCTTGACTGCTGTAGTTTTCTATTTCTTTTGTTTTTTTTGTGTTTTGTTTTTCTTATAGTTTCAAACACAACCCTTGCTTACCCCTCACCAAAGCTTTCGCCTGCAGTTACCGGGGTGCTCCGGGTGCACCAGGCGCTACACCCGCCCGCACCACCACTACGCCCACCACACTCCCCGAGCGCGCGTTTGCTGGATCGCACCTAATAACAAGGCCTTGTCAGATGGGTCCACGTCGAGGGAGGGCCTGGTGGACCAGAGCAGGGAGAGGGGGGGCGAGGGGAAATTAGTGGAAGTAGAGGGGGGCAGCCCCCCTCCACCTCGTGTGGGTGGTCCCCGAGGCCCAGCCCCCCCTAACGCACTGCGCTAGCCGGCATGCTTATCTGCAGTGTGTTTCTATGTTCCGGGTGGTTTTTCTGTAGAGACCGGCGTGGTACGGCGGGGGGTGGGGGGGCCTCCGTGCTCCGAGCTGCGCCGCGCGCTACACGGCTCCGCATCTGTCATGGAAATGAGGATGAACACGCGGCAATATAATACCGCATCGCCCCCTGGAAACTTTGGGGTAAGTAGTTTGGACGCAGAGACGGACGACTGTGAAACTTGTTTCGCAACTGATTTAAAAAAAAAACTGGTAGAAATGATGCAACCTCTTAATTTAAAACAAAAATTAGATCTGCTCAAAAACACTTAAAAACTGAGACTGATTTCTGGTCCAGCGTCATGCCGTGCAGTGTCCTCCGCAGAGTGGGCAACAAGCCACGAGAAAGGCGCCCGCCCTCGCCAGAGTGGCAAATTTTCCTCCTGAGAGGCCGAGAGACGGACGGAGACGGTCTCGCACCGGAAGTGTCCAGGGCGAGCCGTACAGCAAACCTACATTAAGGGGCCAAGCGCCGGAAGTGAGGAACAGGCACGCACGCCCCAGCACGCCCCACCGCAACCACACTCTGCCGGTCAGAGAGGGGAGCGCGGCGGCGTCTGCTCCTCGAGGCCTCGCACTCGCCGCTCCTGCGCCCCGATGGGGACCTTCCGGAACGAATTAAGGGGAGAGGCTACTTTAGGGTGGAAATGCTATTTTGCAAAACCACGGTCCGGTCAGAAGGCCCAAACTTCATGTAAAGCGTAAAGTGCAAGTTTTTGTTGCATAACACAACGGAATTTTCTGTTTAGGTAGATTGTAACAAAATGATCAGATGTATTCTAGACCCCATTTAAAATGCTCCTTGACCGGACCGAATATTTTAATAATTCATGTGTTCCCTCCATGGGGCACTGATATTGATAGATTATTAAAAACCAAACTGGGCCTGGATAATCTTCATCTGTGTCTGGAATACGACTGATTATTTTGTTACAATCTCTAACAATATACATTTTAACTCCTATCACAGACATTTTTGGACCAAATGAGGCCCTTCTTGAATGCCCTACAAACAGCAAATTTTGAGTTTGAGTCAAATGACTAAGCTAAACAGACTGTTTATAGTTGTTTTTATATAGCTTTCCCAGAACCATTACCTTCTCTCACATCCATTTTAGAACAGCCTCCCTTGAAAACATAACACACGCACACAAAGGCATGATCGTGAAAGTATCAAAGTACGTCCAAATAGGTGTTTTTGTGGGTAACGCAAGGGGGAGTTGTTGATTTTTTTTTCACGACAGGGAATGAACAGGGTTACATGCATTGGAAACAATCTGACCAAACCGCTAATCGACTGGCCGTCGCTGTTGTTGAGCTGTTTTCATGTATAGAGCTTCTGTCACAAAAGCAGAGGAGAGGAGCAATGCGACAGCAGCTCGTTTGAACGGCTGCAATGTCGATTAGCCGGGGCTGTTTTACTTTTTATGTGGAAATGGTGAAACCTGCCGCCTAGCTGGCAGAGCAAATGCACTTGACCCCCTCTCCCCCAACCCCTCACTCTCTCCACAGTCCATTTTTATTTTAGAAAATTCTTATTCATGTGCACCGTTTGTTTGATATGCTAGGTGATTGAGAGAGAATTGAAAAGTTTCATCGACCACTTTCCAGCATTTCTGTGCAGTAGCCAGGCAGTTGCGCGGTCAGCGGTCAGGGTTGCGAGTGCTATAGTCGGCTATAGTAAAGTAGAAGAGACCAGAGTACTCGAAGAAATGAACAGCACCAGTCAGAGAGAGGGGGCGGAGAGAAAGACAGAGAGAGAGAGAATGGGGGGGAGGTGACTATTGCAAACATCCATTTTGCCTGTGTGAGTGTGGGCCGGGCTGTATAAAGAGCAAATGAGCTCGGAGGAAAGGGGAGCGGGCGAGAGGGGGGTTGCGAAGAGGAGGGTGGGGGTAAGGCGAGTGGTGTAAAGGTGGCACACGCGGGTGGGAATTAAAACCCGCCGGCACCAACGCAAAGTGGGGCAGGTGCAATGAGAGGGTGACGGTGGCGGGGTGGGGGTGGGGGAGGAGGCGTAGGCAGCCGCGCTACATGATATCATCATTTACCGGACAAACCTGCCACACTACACCCCCGCTTCCACCACCCGCCCTCTTCTAGATC